GCTCGAGATGGAAAGGCTGTGCGACGAAGAACGATATGCTGACCTTAATAACGATTATGTCGATGACAATCACGGTCTGTAAACGAGTCCACGTTTTTCTATCATAACTGTTATTAATATTTTTGATGTCATTTTAGATGAGGAGATAAAGCGATTACATTTAGCTCTGGCCGACGGATCCGGTTATTCGCAAATTAACTATAATTATGATGAAAACAATGCGCCGACGAGTCAACTGACAGAGGAGTTGACGTGTGAGCAAAAGCTGACCACCAGTGAAGACTCGGATCGTTTTAAATTACCGACCGGTTTGAGTCCACCCGAAAACATTTCACTGGTTTGTGATTACTATTGATTGGATTAAAATAGCCGTAACTAATGTTTGCCTTCATTTAATAGCCTGAGAGTCAAAAACTGCATCACATAATCGAGAAGACGGCTCTCTTTGTTAGTAAACACGGCATTCAAATGGAGATAATTTTGAAGACCAAACAGTCGGCGAACAAAAATTTTGATTTCTTGTCGTTTGAATCGCAACTCTATTCGTATTATAAATACATTTTAGAGGCCATAAAGTCTGGCAAATATATACCGAATCAAAATATGCTCGAGATGGAAAGGCTGTGCGACGAAGAACGATATGCTGACCTTAATAACGATTATGTCGATGACAATCACGGTCTGTAAACGAGTCCACGTTTTTCTATCATAACTGTTATTAATATTTTTGATTTGATTTTAGATGAAGAGATAAAGCGATTACATTTAGCTCTGGCCGACGGATCCGGTTATTCGCAAATTAACTATAATTACGATGAAAACAATGCGCCGACGAGTCAACTGCCAGAGGAGTTGACGTGTGAGCAAAAGCTGACGACCAGTGAAGACTCGGATCGTTTTAAATTACCGACCGGTTTGAGTCCACCCGAAGATATTTTACTGGTTTGTGAATACTATTAATTGGGTTAAAATAGCGGTAACTAATGTTTGCCTTCATTTAATAGCCTGAGAGTCAAAAACTGCATCACATAATCGAGAAGACGGCTCTCTTTGTTAGTAAACACGGCATTCAAATGGAGATCATTTTGAAGACCAAACAGTCGGCGAACAAAAATTTTGATTTCTTGTCGTTTGAATCGCAACTCTATTCGTATTATAAATACATTTTAGAGGCCATAAAGTCTGGCAAATATATACCGAATCAAAATAAAAGCAGTGATAACTCAGACGATTCGGACGACGACTCCGATGGCGACAACTATTTGCATCCGAGTCTTCTCGGCTCGTCTTCGGCCAAAGCGAACAATTCTCGCGTTTTTAATATTCCAAACCTATTGCGGGTCCAAAATAATGACAATAATGACGA